ACACACACACACACACACAACACACACACACTGCAGTAAATACGTTGATCTACACGTCGAAGGGGAAACCCGAGAAGGCATTTAACGAATCTAACAAAACCACCATATTCTTCCTGCCGATAACATTCCGAATCGAATGCGTTCACCCAGATGAAGGCGGCGGTGCTGGCCCTGGCGCTGGCGCTGATGGGCGTGGCGTGGGCGGAGTTGGCTCCACCCGAGAGATCCTACAAGATCCTGATGCTGTTGCCAGTATCCTCGAAGAGCCACAGGAATGTCTTCTTGCCGGTCGCCGAGGCTTTAGCCGATCGAGGCCACAAGGTAGGACATAAGGAAGAGTATAGAATAAAGGTGCTGTCACACAAGCACTTTTTCCGTCAGTTTTTTTTTTTTTTTTTTTTTTTTACAATTTACTGAAATGTCCATTTTTGAGCGAATTGTCGATTTTCCAGTCAGACGATAATGATCGTTTCCGTCTGAAAACCTTAACGTCAACTTTTTCAGCCAAGCATACTCAAATCAAGATAATATTCCAGAATGTTTGTATTGACGTTGAATAAAATTGTCAAAAAAATGACGGAAAACGTGATAGTGTGACAGCACCTTAAGCAAGTTAATATTGTTACCTTAACTGTTTCTAAAACAGAAACATATCAAGGAATTCATACAGAATCCAGAACATCCGTCGCTGATTGATTTGTTGCTAATGACTTTTGGATCGACGACGCCAGATTGTGATGCTGGTCAACCACCCACCGGCGTCGAAGCACCCGAACGTTCTAGAGATCAACCATGAGCTGCCCGACTTCAGGGTAGAAAACCTGAACATGTTCGAAACACGCGGGAACACAGCAGCTGTGTTCGGATTGTTCCAGAAGGCTCTTCCCGCCATCGCCAGCAAGCTGTACAAGGTTCCGAAGGTTAAAGAACTCTACGACAAAAGAAAGGAGTTTGATCTCATTGTTATCAACCATATGTTTAATGAGGTAAGTCTGGCTTGATTTTTGGATTTCCATTTCGTAAAGTTTATAGTCCTGATGAAGTGAGTCGCGTACGTGATGGGGATTTAGTCTAGGAAGGAAATCTTATGGTTAAGGCAAATGAGGGAACTTCGTATTTGGAAGAAAAATCCTGAACTCGTTCATTAAGAACAAATTTCCTAAAATCGTCTTCTTACCTTTAAGAGTGCTGTGAGAACTGCCATGGCCACTGCTAGATTAATTTAATTGAAAATTACATTCTTATAGTCATGGCAAATAAAAAAAGAGGGAAATGATAAGGCGTTAAATGCCGCCTAATGAATTTGTTCAACGAATATTACAGAACGAATCTTACTATTTCAAATTCAGAATACTTTATTCCATTTGCTGCCATGGTTATTCATATTGCATAGAAAGATTTGTATAGTCATATGAATATAAGACAAACATAAAATTAACAGTAGTACTTGTAATTCTTGACCATTTTTATATTTGGAAACCTGATCTCATTGGTAATTTAAAGGTTCATTGAAGTTCTTTTTGAATGTCTCCGAGTTCTGAATGTTTCTTATGTTGTTGGTTCCATGCTCCAGTGTCTGTACGTGATATTTAGACATGTAGAGTTTACCTGCCATGTTTAAGCACAGGTTATGTTACCTACAGATAGATAAAAAACTAGTATTATTTTAATAATTAATAGTATCAAGCATTTGTTTTGTATTTTTTAAACAACTTTGTTTATGTGTGGGATAATGTGGGCATATTTATGCTACCAAGTGCTCCTCTCTCAGCAGTTTTGTAATTTTTGAATTTTCTGAATTTGATCTCTGTAAGTTGTACTCCATGTGTTTGAACAATAATCAGTTATACTGAGAGCTAATGTTTTTACAACCGATATTCTAGTTTCGGCGGGGATTCTATTGCTTATATGGCTTAGGTGAATTTGTATTTTCTGTGGATGTTGTCGACATGGTTCTCAATTAACATGAATCTGTCAATATGTACGCTTGGTCTTATGTGGCTGTCTGAGGTAATGTTTACAGAAATTTTGCCTGTCTTGCCTGTGAAAATTATTGTTTTATCTGTATTTATCTTATCATTTGTGTCAACGTATCCTTTTTACTCGTGCAAATGTCTCGAGTCTTTTTTTGTTAATTAATCTTTGTTTACAGAGTCATTATGGAGAAATTGTAAATCAGCGTATTCAACATGACGGCAGTTTTGGGCTATGGTTGACAGATATACGAATATTGTGAAGAAGACTGGGCCTAATAACTATCCTTGTGGATAACCGAAAATACCATCTTTGATGTATTCTCGCAATTTTGACTGATTGGGTTCTGTTATTTGATAACTTCTGAACCATTATGCATAAATTTTGTGATTTATTACTTTACTAAGAAGGATTTCGTGGTTGACACTACCAAGCACGCAATGTAAGCACGTTTATTTGGTTGTCTATTTCTCATAGATTTTATTTGCGATCTGTAATAATGCTGTTTCATTTGACAGCTTACTTCTGAAAACATGTTGGTATTGGATAGTAGGTCATGTCTCTATAAACGTCAATTGGTCATTTGATTTTTTTTCGAGGACTTAATAGGGCGGTATTTGTCATGCGTCTGTGGATTTGAATACTGGTTTATTATGCCTTATTTCCAAAGTCACATATGTGGAGTTTAGGAGTGAATAATGAAAATGGAAGATTATGGAGGAAGGGGAAGACCAGTTTCCATAAAAATAAAAGTAAGATATATCTGTTCAGTTGGCGAGATGAAATGGCCAAATATGTTTGCATTTCGTCTGTCAGCCAATCAGTTAATTATTGTAACAGTTGACCTGTCAGTCTTTAAAAAATCCCAGACCACCAATCAACAGCCAAAAAAATCCATAGTCACATCGTAGATATCACCCCTTAACTTCACTAAAATGGAAGAGAGAGAGAGAGAGAGAGAGAGAAGAGAGAGAGAGAGGAGAGAAGAGAAGAGAGAGAGAGAGAGAGAGAGAGAGGGAGAGAGAGAGAGAGAGAGGGGAGAGAAGAGAGAGAGAGAGAGAGAGGAGAGAGAAGAGAGAGAGAGAGAGAGAGAGAAGAGAGAAGAGAGAGAGAGAGAGACAGACAGAGACAGAAGACAGAGGACAGACAGAGAGAGACAGAGTGTCATGAACGTCTAAAACCATTCATTCATAAACATTCTATTTGCTTCAAGTATGGTGTTGCCACTTGTTGAGTTTCTTTACCAGAAGGAATATAGTAAGTATTCAAGAACGTACTGGTCAAATATTTGGTCAGCGAAATAGTGAGTAACGTAAGTTGTAGATAATAAATTAAACAGAAAAAGCCCTACTGGCCAATCAAAGGCAGCAGAAGGGCTATCCTTGCTGCAGTAGCACTTTTGATTAAGAAAGCTCTTGTAATATGTAAATTTTAAGATGTAATAGTAAATGCATCAATGGATGTGGGAAATTTAAGAAAATAAAATTATGTATTGGCATCAATGAGGAACCAATATTAATTCCTCGACGTTTCTGCAGTGATAAAACTTTTAACCTTTCGCCAGGCCGCGTACCCGTTCGCCCACGAGATGCCCTTCATCACCATAGCAACGCCAGGTGTGGACTACCGCCAGAGCGCTGTCCTCGGCAACGTCTTGAATCCTTCTTACGCTCCTAACTACATGCAGTCTTACCCAGCACCTATGAGCATGCTCACCGCTTCACGAACACGATTCAACACATCATGTTTGCCGTAAACTGGCGACATTGGAGCATTGTTCCGGCCGTACAGAAGGAGGTGAGTATCCTGCGAGGAAGGAAACTAGGTCTTTCAGCGTTGCTTACATTTTGATAAAAGATGCTATTACGGTGCTTACAGTAAATGGTTTTCATTGCCTTGGATTCCAGATCTAGTAATGGCAAGAAATATATGGAAGGACGAAGATAATAATATATATTTCCATTGTATCATTTAATAAATTTTATGCTCGCTTGTTTTAAATCCATCAGTAATTAATGTTTACTGAGACAATAACCGCGTCCCAAGAGGGTAAGAAAACAAGTTCCAGTAGGGTTAAGTCAGCATATCAGCATGAAACTGGTTCACATCTGTCTCCAGATCTCGGCCCAGTTCCCGGACCTCCCGCCATTGCTGGACATTGAGCGCAACCAGAGCCTTACCTTGATGAACTCCCACTTCACAATGAACGATGTTCTGCCTCTGCTGCCGTCCCAGGTGGAAGTGGGGGCCATGCACTGCCGTCCTGGCAAGCCCCTCCCTGAGGTGAGACTCGTCTTTCTGAAGGGAATCCTAAGTTCTATGCAAAGACCGTCTACGAAAGACAGGAAACATATCTAACGCATTCTAAAAAATGTGAGCTCCCGGTCGTCTACCAGCGCCATCTGTTGACTCGACGCCCAACTAAACGTCCGACGTCGTTCAGTGGGTGGGGTGCAGTGCTCACTCGGGTTAATGTTCTTGGTCAGTTCAGACTTATTTCAGAGGGGTTGTGAATAGCTTATTTACTATTATATATATATATATATATATATAATATATATTATATATCTATATATCTATTATATATATATATATAATTCATATCGTATAATGACTTTGTAGTAGCCCTTATTTTCTTCATATAATTCTTTCGCCCCTCCCCTGCCCATTCGGCAATTTATGGCTGGTTACCAACTATAAATTAGTAGTTCATACATGCACGACATACATACGGCGTATACAACTTGCCATATACAGGACACATTAAACCACGTGGCACATTGATCTTATAGGCCTACAGTCACATAACATTAGTGACATATAATGTATATGATTATATTGACAAACATGCATTAATACATAGAAATTTAGTATGATAAATTAAAGAAATTATTACAATATCTTTATTAGAATAATAACAAAACCTTTACAAATAAATGGCCGAAATACACATTTTTATTTCAATTCTTCGCATTGCGACCGCATGATTTTGAGATTCATTTCCTCATTAAAAAGTGTTTTTGTTTGATAAGGGGACTATCCCCTAAACCCCTTTCCTAGGAGCTGCCTGGAATGCATTTGCTACACCTTGTACACTCTGGCTAGGAGCTCGAAACAGGCCACCCGTCGTTGTTCTGTTAACATTTGAACTTATTTTACTTTCTCTACATTTCTGTTTGCCCTACTATACAGATCTACCAAGTCATGATCATTGTTCAATCAATATATATGTTGATTTTGGTGATAACTATAATCTAACTCAAAATCAACCTGACAGGGTATTTTTCACTCTATTGATATCAAAGTAGATTTTTGGCCTCTACTTTTTTAGACGGGCGTCATGACGTCATGTGATCCAATTTATATCTTGCTTATGTCAATCTGAACGTCACATATCTTAAGTTATATCTAAAAAGCATAGATATTACGGACAATATGCAATATAAGGTAGTGCCTAAGTTGGGAGATAAAACCTATATAAATCGATAGACCGATACAAACCAAGACACTTTTCTTCTATGGCAATATTTGTGCAAATGCTTCCCAAGGTGCTATACGTAAATGAACAGAGGTGAGGCCCAATTTTTCAAGTCCATCATCATCTTTTCATGACGAAAGTAAACATTGGACTGGACGCAGAACCGATTACTGCGCTGTTCAGACTAGTGCATGTATTGCTGCGCGATTGTGAAAAGGATATTTTGCTAATCATCAGTGTCTGCCGTTCCATATTTATGCTTTCAAAGACCTTTATTAATGTTTTTATACCTCATTTACGTGTTTTAAGATTGATTACAGGTTTTAACGGGAATCGGTCTGAAGGATCTTCTGCGCATGCGTATTTTCGCGTTTCTCGCCGCCAGTTTTGACAGGTGGATTCGCGGGTAGTCGGTGCAGAGAGCCGGTAAGAAATGTTTTGTTTTCGGTGTTGCGTCGATTCTAGGTTATTCCTAAGACTATGCAGTGGCAACGAAGAAGAAAAAGACCTCAATAACTATCGCAGTTCCATTTCTAAGGGCATCAAGTACCCCAAATCCCGAAAAAAGCGATAAAAACGAAGCGACCCACGATCCACGACCGACCGAAAGAAGCGAAGGAAAATTGACAGTTCGGTCTTTCGATATATAAAGGTATTTGGTTTATTGTTTACAGTATGGATGTAGCTCTATCTTGCCGTACATACCGAGGTGAAGAGAATGTGTCCCGGGGGGTGTTGGGGGCTTGCCCCCATCAACCCTCCCCTCGGGCAGTGCCCGAAGGGCACGCCTAGTCACGGCACCGTAAATTGCTAGGTTAGGTTGGGTTATGGGTTAGGACGTTTTTTATGCTTGAAAGGTGCGAAATCCCGTAGATTTTACCGAAAGATGCGTTGTATTCCCGTAGAGTTTTTCGAATTTTGGCGCGCAAGTGCGTAGAGTTTCATTAGCCGATTTTTAGCCATTTTTGGGCTATTTTTTTGTTTTTGTTCGCTATTCTTATTTAAGCCTGTTTTACCCCATAATTTCCCTGATATACTTCATGCCCTCCCCTACTAATGGGACTAACAAATTAAGATTTTGATGGAAGTGGTACTCAGATCTCATCAACGAAGCATTTGCACAAGAAACAACTAATTACCATGTCGGAACTGTCAGAACAATTTTCCCGCTCCTATGTTAACAGACGGGTATGAGATGACGTCACGAGATGCTCACTAACGTCATCTATTGCGCCGACGCCGCATTACTCACAGGATTTTGCTCGACTTTACGGTCTTTCGTAGATAGTCTTTGGTTCCATGCTAGATGGAGAACCACAACTCCAAGGTATTATCGATGAGCACAGAAATGAAATGGAATATCGATGGTAGCCGATGCTCATCTGGATTTATTTGGATTTGTAAGTGGTCGTTTGTCAGTAGACACGTATCCTACAGGATTTAGAGTCGTGGATCAGCGGCGCAGGATCAGAGGGCGTCGTGTACTTCAGTCTCGGCTCCGTGGCTCAGGGTCAGTCGATGCCCACGAAGTACCGAGATATGTTCGTGGAGGCCTTCAAGCAGCTCAAACAGCGAGTCATCTGGAAGTACGAGGAGGCGCTGGAGGCGTCTCTGACAACGTGCTAATGCGGAAGTGGCTGCCGCAGCAGGATATTCTCGGTGAGTTGATCTTGGCTGGTTCTGAATGCAAGATTTACATTTTTTTTTTCTCAAGATACCCATTGGCAATACTATTAGTATTACTGATGATAATCTTCATGAGCATCATAGTAAATGGACAAGGAAAACAATGGCACAGCAATTAAATCTTATAAACTTCAATAGGAAACAAGGTAAGGATTATTGTTGTTTTTGATAACTAACCGCAATGGAGAACCCTAGAATGGGGTTGCTCATGTGTTTTACCATTGGTGTTTCAGCGCATCCAAACGTCCGGGTTTTTATCTCCCACGGAGGACTCCTCAGCACTCAGGAGTCCTTCTACCACTCTACGCCAGTCCTCGCAATCCCCATCTTTGCGGATCAGCCCAAGAATGGCATGAACATACAGAACAACGGCCTCGGGCTGATGCTTGTGTGGGAGGAGTTGACGGTCGAGCTCATCGTCAACAGTCTCCAGGAAATTATCTCGAATCCCAAGTAAGGGTTTTCAGCTTGAATGTACAGGACTTTTGAAGCTTTTTATTCATTAATACTGAATTATCTGACTCTCACACATAGACATGCTTTCTGCACATTCCTTGAGGCCTCAGAGCCTCACTGACAGCGAGCCCTCAACCGCAGGTACAAAGCCAGGGCCGCAGAGGTGCGGGCTCCCCTCCGCGACCAGCCCGAGAGCCCGAAGGATCGCGCGGTGTTCTGGACCGAGTACGTGATCCGGCACAAGGGCGCCCCCCGGCTGCGGTCTCCGCGGCGACGCTGTCGTGGGTCGAGTTCCTCATGCTGGACGTGCTGCTGGCGCTGCACGTGGCCGTGGTCGTGGCGGTGTACGTGCTCCGCCGCCTCGTGGGAGCCGTCTGCTCGCGGGTCCTCGGGTCCCGGAGCACAGGCAAGAGGAAGAGGGAGTGAGTTTCCTCGGTGATGCTTTCATTCTCTAGATTTATCGGTATTTCAGCATTTTAATTGTTGTATTTGTTTTTTTCCGTTTCGTTGACTAGATGTACGTTTTCCTTGTGTAAATATTTTTTTATGACAATAAATGTACTTTGTAAAACGACGTATTTTATTTGCCTATTCTGTAACGAGCCATGATAGTTTGCTTTACGTTATTGAGGAATTATTTAGGATATGTTGCATCCCCCCCCCCCTCTCTCTCTCTCTCTCATATATATATATATATATATATATATATATATATATATATATATATATATATGTGTATATATACATATATATATATATATATATATAATATATATATATATATATATATATATATATATATATGGTGGTGATTTGGCACGACCTTACCTAATGGCTCATATTCATTTTAACATGATTTTCTTCAAGAAATTTGATTACGTACATGAACGCTTCAGTGTATCAGAAGATCGTACTTGTCATAGGAATCACAAATATAAATGTTACATAAATTTATAATACAGCAACAAAACACGGTAATTACACAAGTAATGGTATTAAAGCAAAACAGTGTTAGGTACATAGCTAACTAGAGAGCGCATACCTCCGCCAAGGCAATGGGGTCACTGACGCAATAAAAATATCCACACATTTGAAGAATTGCATTAAATTCATCCCATTCTCAAGTACACTGGTGACGTACGCCTAGAGTGCAGTGCTGAGAACAAAATGGAAATTGTTATTTTTTACACTATTTCATTGTGGTGGTGAAAAATTAGTATGCTTTTCTTATTTCCACCGTGGTTTCCGAGGCATAGCTGTAGAATGTTTTGATTCCGAGTTGATTTCAGCAATAAAGGAGTTTGTTGTCTCTATCTCGCAGTGCTAATGAATCATTAAAAAAAATATCTGGACTAAGACACACCTCTGAAAAAAAAAAAAAAAAAAAAAAAAAAATCTGTTCAAATATATATATTTTTTTGCGTTATCATTCTAACCAACGACCAAACATATAAACAAAACACGCTACCAAAACATAATCTCCTTGGCGAAGGTAATGTTACTACAACGAAGCCAGTTACACAGATAATGGTACTACAACGAAGCAATTTTCATTGGTTATAAAACTCTTACTGTCACAAATAACACGTATGTTACATATATGCAGGTGCACCGTGTCCCTCAGATAGGAATGACCTTTGTTTATCTTCTCTGCCGATATGGTACACAATATCCGAGTCATTATACGAGAAAAAAAAAAAAATCGAGATGAACTTCTTCGGTCAGACCAAGTTCCCTTAAATATGGGTGTTTATTCAAAACATTTATTACTTGAGGTCTGCATTTGTTAATTTATGACCTATTAATGTCGAAATCACTTGGTAAGTTATACGAAATATAGAGAGACTGCCCTCGACTGAGGAAGGACAGGAAGGAAAAAGCGAGTGAGAGAGAGAGAGAGAGAGGAGGAGGGAGAAAGGGAGAGAAAGAGAGAAAGAGACAGACAGAGACAGTGGCAGAAAGAGATAGGTCCAGTGCATTGTCAAACACTGACGGAGAGAAAGGGTGTGGGGGGCAAACAGACAGACAGACAGAGACAGTGGCAGAGAGAGATAGGTCAGTGCATGTCAAACACTGACAGAGAGAAAGGGGGTGGGGGGCAAACAGACAGACAGACAGACAGAGACAGTGGCAGAGAGAGATAGGTCCAGTGCATTGTCAAACACTGACAGAGAGAAAGGGGGGGGGGGACAAACAGACAGACAGACAGACAGAGACAGTGGCAGAGAGAGATAGGTCCAGTGCATTGTCAAACACTGACAGAGAGAAAGGGGTGGGGGAACAGACAGACAAACAGACAGAGACAGTGGCAGAGAGAGAGAGGTCCAGTGCATTGTCAAACACTGACAGAGAGAAAGGGTGGGGGGGACAAACAGAAACAGACAGAGACAGTGGCAGAGAGAGAGAGGTCCAGTGCATTGTCAAACACTGACAGAGAAAGGGTGGGGGGGGGGACAAACAGACAGACAGACAGGACAGAGACAGTGGCAGAGAGAGATAGGTCCAGTGCATTGCCAAACACTGACGGAGAGAAAGGGTGGGGGAGGAACAAACAGACAGACAGACAGACAGAGACAGTGGCAGAGAGAGATAGGTCCAGTGCATTGTCAAACACTGACAGAGAGAAAGGGGGGGGGGAACAAACAGACAGACAGACAGAGAGAGATAGGTCCACTGCCGTGCTTATCAAGATACAATGGAAGCGGTGATAACACACATGAAAGGATGGCAGCGAAAGGAGCACAACAACGAGTTAAAGAGGCACAAGAAACTTATTTGAAGGGGGGGGAGACATTGCATCCGTAACCTCCCATAAAAGTACAGCAGATTAGAAACCTATGAACATCAATATTTTTTTTCGTATTCTGATTGCACTGTCACCGCAATTTCCACGACAAAATGAAGTGATAACGGGACGATGTCGTCGAACTAGCTACGGCTCACATAACACTACTTGATTATCGCAGTAACCAGTATACCCCGCTTTTGTCGACAATAGTATGCAATACCTTTCGTTCTTCTAATATTTTCGTTTCTTTTCTTGGAGATTTCAGTTATTTCAATGGCCAGCTGTAATTGCCACTTACTGGTATAATTTTATTTCTTCTTCCTTTATTCATCTCAAACTGGCGGAGGGGACTGATCACCTTCCTAAGAAAGGGGGAGGGGCGTATCTCCCGTCATCCGTGTTCTTTTAAGTAATGATGCTCCTAATAACTGGAATTCGGATGTTAATTGATCGTGATGAATGGCATAAACATGTGTGTAAAACGTATATACCTTTGTTGTCCTCTGCGTGTGTAATGATTAGCGACAAGGGAGAATGTGCTTGGCATCGCCCGTATTCGGTGAGTTACCGCTTAGGTTTTTTCAACTAAAAAGAAGATAAATAATAGCTGGCTACCGTGCGTGGATACACTGTCTACATTCACGTTAGTATAAGAGATTTTGTTTTAAAGTAAAATGCCATTGAGGTGAAAACAAAATAGAGTGTAATTACTCCCAAACGTAGAACGCGCCGCAAGGTCACAGTACTGCTGAATAAGTCAACGGTTTCAAAATTGGGTAAACTTAGTTATTATGAGAAAGGCAAACTTACAAACATCTTTTAACGACCTCTCCGAAACTAGATAGGAAATTACCAATTACATGGCATAGCATACCAAGCAACGTGCCATTGTCACTCTATCTGTGTCTAATTTGTCTATATCTGCCCTCTACATAAACCTCCCCAACTTGGTATATTTCATCGGTTCTAATAATGTGGCACGACATCTCTACTGTAGTTTATGATAGTTTCATTGGCGGAGAATGATTACTGATTTTATGGGTAATATATATTTTTTCTAAATCTCTCGATTTGTACTGAGCTTATCACGATGCCCTAAAGATTAGGTGCGAAGATGATCTTATCGTCTATCTCATACCATACCCAAGGGCAATGGCCATCGAATGTTTGTCATGCTGACGGACAAGAGTGAGAAAGCAGAAGTCACAGTTACTAAATACAGACCAGATTCTTTCAGCCAAGTGCCTAGTGACTGATGAAAATAACATTTGTTACTTTGATTTTTTTTCCTACGGGAATCGCATAAGCAAATATAAAATTCCAAAGAAAAAAGGCTTCTGCCGTGAGAATTCTGAAAAATGCCATATGGCAACTCTGACCTCTAGTAGGTGGTGCCGTGCAAGGCTTCACCACAAGCAGTTGTGACTTGGCTTTGTTGACGGGTGCAGACGCATTTCAGCGCTGAAAGGGTAGACTAACTTTTTCGTTTTTTACGAAAATTGGCTAACGATTTGCCCATCCGGTAGTAAATTATGATACTATGATTGTTACAAACGAAAGTTTTATGTTTTGTGTCATCAGAATCTGTCTTGTGTTGCATCTGAATTATTCCGAATTATAAGTCGAGTATACACGCACGTGCGCACACACACACACCACGCAAATACATATATATGTGAAGATATGTATATGTAAATACACGTGTTTGTGTATAAATATCTATCTATATTTATATATACATACACACACATATATATCAAATATGTTATGCGAATACATACATATATACGCGCGCGCGTGTGTGTGTGAGAGATAGTACATATATTAACATATTATATATATATACCAAAATATGTGTGTGTGAGTGGGTATGTATTGACGGGACGATGGATATACTCAAACATACATGTATATTTACATATACATTTACATATCTTCACATATATGTGTATGTGTGTGCATGTGCGTCTGCGTGTGAGTGTGTATTCGCATGTGCGCGTATGTGGGTTACAGTGAGTGTTTGTGTATGTGCGTGTGTGTGTGTGTGTCTGTGTGTGTGTGTGCGTGTGTGTTTAATGTGGGTTGTTGTTCTCTGGGCATTTTCGTTCTGCTGGATCT